TGGCATGTCCTACCTGCAGCACAAAGGGGTGCTTCATTTTGTGGACCGAAGCCTCCTCTGGGCTGGTGCCCCCCTCTGATCTCCTCTGCACCCACATCTCTGCTGAGAGCCATCATGCTCTTCCCCTGCCCCACTTAGCCTTTGGGCCTGCCTCTGGGCCAGGAGGGTGTCTGCAGGAAGAAAGGGTTTTTTTTAATCTCATAATTACTCACTGACTTTATTCCACGTTAAATACAGAACCGTCTCTGAATAACAATAATACCCATCACCAGTATAATTACTGAGAATAGTTTTAAATTTTTTCACATATATTATTCATTTTCTTTAATTTTTAAAAATAGGCCATATCTCCATTGCCCGAGCATATAGTCATTACATAGCATATGCCTTTTACTCTGCATTGAATTTTAGTTCCACAGGTAACTATATGATTAAATCTCACCATCAGTCCTACGTCAAGGTCTCTCTTAAGGTTGGGTTGTGTGAAATTTATTCCATAGTGGATTCTGCAAGAAGGGGTCATGGCAGCACTCTTCCCTGAAGTTTTGCTTGTTGATAACTGTGTGCCCTTCATAATTCAAACTCAGTTTGCATATAAAATCCTTAGCTCACATTTCCTTTCCTTGTGTATCATAAACATATTCCTCCATTCTCTTCTGTCATAAATGTTGCTGTCAAAGAATATGATGATTTAATTTTCTTTCCCTTATAAACCATTGGATCTTTTTGCCTGGACACCCAAATAATTTTTTCTTTTTCTTTTATGTCCAGCAATGTTACTAACGTATGTCTTGGTGTTGGTTGTTCTGCTTCAGTATTGTCAGGTCCATAGAGCGCTCTTTCAGTAAGTATTTTCAACTTTTTATACATATATTTTTTATTTGTTTTGGTTACTTTATGTGTTACTGTCACTTGGGGGGTGAGGGCAGGACGTGAGGTACCGGCTGTCAGTGTTAGTGCTGGGGTGACTCCCTCAGCCTCAGGGTGCTGCGAAGTGGAAGCTCCCATGGATGCAGACTCCTAACAGAATGCTCAACTCCAGATCGCTTTCAGCCATATGGTCTTTCTCTTCCGCCATGACTGCTTACATTTTTAAAAATGGTTCTTGAATTTAAAAGGATTTTCAACATATTTATTAAAATGCTTCACAAGCAGGTATTGCTCATTGGTTTTGAGTATGGTAGGGGAGAATGACAAGGTATGGCTCAGTTATACAAGTTCTGGTTTATTTGTTCATGCACTTGTTTATTCAGAAAATATTTGAGTGCTTACCACATAAGCTTACCACATAAGCTCTGTAGTAGGCAGTTTAGGAAGGTGTCCAGAAAGAGGAGTTTGCTCTGATTTGGACATATCACAGAGCAAACTTCATGATTGTGTCCTGACATTGTTTTAGAGTTTCCAATTAGATAGTTGTCGTGTTTTGTTTTTTTTTTTTTTAGTAGTCAACCCAAAGTAAGGCGTAAGGCAAGCAAACTTTAATTTTGCAATCACAAAGGATTATTCATTCAAAAATTCCCCATTATGTACTCAAATGAGTGGATGGTTAAAAATCTCTTACTATAAAGACATCACGTCTATTTCCCAGGGGTTTGTGTTCAACTGAAATAGGTAAATTTACTTCAGTGAAATGTTATTGATGTTATTGTCTTAGCTGTCAGCTGAGATGGAAATACACGTGCTTATTATAAAAACGAGGGACTTTTGAATGGCGTTGATTTAAAAGCAAATCCTGTATTGGCCTGGAGCAGGCAGCAGAGAGAAGGTGCTGCCTCCCATGTGCTTTAGGCCACTCTGTTTCTTTTGCTCCCTGGAACTTTCCATTCCTTTTTCCTGTGGGCTTATTTGCTAACAGCCTCCTGAGTGTCTGTGGCAATAAATGACTGGCTGATGGCTGGAACTTTGGTACGGTTGTTTTTCTAGTCTTCATTAAAAAAAAAAAAGTGGCATCAGGTTATGAAGTTGAGTCAGTGGCTGCCTGCCTGCTCTGGGAGGGTTCACCCTCTCCTCGCAGTCTCACGGCGGGCCAGCGTGGTAGGAGGTTGGCCCCCTGGCTCACGCGCCCCTTCCCTGTGGCACCCCATTGCCTTCTTAGAATGAGCTGTTCCCCGAGTTGCGAGTCTTGGCGGCAGGGCGCCTGCCTCTTATCGAGGCCGTCTAAGGGCCCGCGGGATGCATCTTGTCCCTAGTAGAGTCGGGGGCATCTCACGATGCCCTCTTTGCCAGTCTTGCCATCTTCTTTCTTTGTTAGACCTTATATTTTGAGATCACTATAGCCTCGCGTCATCGTGAGACTACAGGGAGTTGCCTGGGCCTGTACCCAGTTTCCCGCGGTGGCAGCGCTGTGGTAACACTGTCACCACCAGGACATTGACCTAGAGACACTCAAGACACACGACCTTTCTGTGCCACAAGGAACCCCCGTGTTGCCCGTTTTTAGCTTCGGCTTTGTGACACCACCCTCTCTTGCTATTGTAGAGATAGAAAGTTCAAAACTTTATTATGTAGTAAATTCTGTTAATCAGTTATTGACCCTTTAGACAGGAATTTAACTTAGAGCCGAGGATGTTCCCCAGGTGGCTGAAGTCTGCTTTATGCCTTCGGCTTCTGGTTTTGGATTAACAGGAGTTCGCTGTGAGCGGAGGAGAGGAGAGAGGCCTGCCACTACCCCGCTGTGCCCCCCCCCAAAGCGTCGCAGCCCGGTGGGAGGGGTGTGCATCATCAAAGCGGTGCCCAGGACGTGCTGGCATGCGGAGCGTGCCTAGGAGCTGCTGAGCGGTTCAGACGCTTTGGAGGAGCTTAGTGCCCATGAAAAGGTTTATACGGCAGTCCGAAAAATCTCCCGGCAGCTCATTCAGCTAGAGCTTTGATTAATTGAACAGGTGATTGACTAGATTTCCCCCCATACTTTGCTTAGGGGCAGGGCCCTCCACTCTACTTTCTGCTTTGGCAGGGCGGTGGGTACCTGGCGATTGCCTCCTGATGCCTGAACCACCTGTACGAGTTTTCCAGCTGGGATCGCTCTAGCCCTTGCTGATTTTTCATAGTGTTTGAGCCCTAATTCTCATTGCCACCACCTTGAAGTTCTGCCTGAGCTGGCTTGAAGCTGCCCGAGTTCTGCTGGAAGGCTTTATTTTTCTGGTATGCCCAGTTTGTCCCTGGACACCCCTCACACCTTATTAGTGCAAAAAATTTGCATAAATTGTCTTGCCTCCCTCCATCCATCCCTCCTTCCCTCCCTCCCTCTTTCCCTCCCTCCCTCCTTCCCTCCTTCCCTCCTTCCTTCCTTCTTTCCCTCCCTCCCTCCTTCCCTCCCAGGGGTACAAACGATTTGGTTTAGCCACATTCAGAATCTGTCACTGTTCCCTAGACTTATTTTGTTTTTAGAATCCTTGGACAGAAATTTTTTAATAGCCTGTCATGGAAAATAGTTGATGTGCCACCCCTATTTTTTGAACACGATGATAAAAATCCCAAATATTCCCACGTCAATCCTAGCAGATAATGTATATTTTTTTGGCATCCCATTTTGTCCCTAAAAGGACTGAATATGGGATAGGACAGTGGAATGAATGAAACAAGGATGCTGCCAGTTTCATAGACGACTTTGCTCTGCCGTGGCCGTGGCCTGTGGGAACCGCCCCGCCCCAGGAAGAAGCCACCAGCCCATCCTCGGCTTATGTGACCGTGAGGGGTGTCGGGTCACATCTTTGCTTTGCTCTGCAAACTCTTGCCTGTCGCAAACTAGGCTCATACTTAATTCAGTGTTTATGGCTGCCTGCAGGATAATTCATTTTTTAACTTGGGAAAAAGTAGAGGTAGGTACCAATGGAATTCTGCCCTGCTAGTGGAGGATTGCACCCTCCCCAGAGCACAGCTAAAAGGCTTCCTGCGTTGCTGGGCTCAGCTGGGGCTGAGGTGCCACTGTATCAGAAGAATTAAGTAATTTAATGGGAGCCATATTTTTAAAAAAAGACTTAACGTTTCCATTTTCTCTTTCGAAACTGTGAATGAACTCGGGGAGAAATAAGCATATCCTTAAGAAATTAGATTTTGTGCATGAGAGTTGGCTGCAGGAAAAGCCAGCCAAGGATTTCTGGGTTTTGTCCGGTGCTGCCTTGATTTGAAAGGCGTACACCTGAAGTACTTTGCCATTTGTGATGTGACAAAGGCAGCTCACACATCAGATAAGAGTTTGGCAGTTTTGGTTTGATTCTAACATGAATTCAGCGTGGAGAAATAATAGCACTGATGAGAAGAGCAACGTGTTTTGCATAACAAAAAAACCCTGCCACCTTGCAGCCCAGTTGCATTTAAACTATATGAAGTTTGTAAGTGTGCAGCACTCCTCTCTTCATATCTTTTTAAGTTCATTATGCCATTCCATTTCTTTCTCAGTGAGGAGCACAGGCATTAGATGAGGGGAAATGCCATGACTCCCTGTAGCTGGTGGATTTTTCGAGCAGATGCATACGTCTCACTCTTAAGGAAAAACATAAAACAGCCAGACGTTAAAGCTTTTCTTTGATTATTTCTCAGCCATAATAATTAATTGTACCCCACAATAGTTTTTTATTTAATTACAGAACCAAAGTGTTGCCGTTTAGAACTATTCCATTTGGTTGTTGACTTTTAAAAGTTATTAAAATTAAAGGAAAAGTAATTTGGACTTCCATAGAATTGTGAGTCTGAATTGTGACTCTGAAATATCTGTGTTTTCTGGGATGAGTTGCTCAGTTTTCCTAACTACTTCCCCCCAGGCCCCTCATGGGGGTGTCTGGACTGGGGAGTGTGGCCTGTGGCGCAATATCTGGCCTGGGTGCCCAGCTCCAGGGCACCTCTGCCCCCGGGCCCCTCTCTGCCCCCGGGCCCCTCTCTGCTCCCGGGCACCTCTCTGTTCCTGGCCACCACTGCTTCCAGGCAGGGGGCTCTGCAACTCTTTGGGTCTTTCTTCCTTGGTTGCATGGTAGCCGCTGCATCCCCGGGCATCCATCTGGTCTTTGTTCTAGGTCAGAAGAAAAGGGAAAGGGCAGTATCAGACATTTCTGTCCCTTTCATTGCAGAGACAAAGGTTCTCCTCAAGCCTCCAGCTGGGCTTCTGCTGTGGCCCTCCCCTCGGCCAGGACGCCACACACTGCCCTGCACTGCAAGGCGGGACGCAGCTCCTCAGGTCTCTGTGATGGCTTCAGACACTGGGCAGGGCAGGGCTGTTGGCTGCCACAGATTGTCTGATATTCGTGACGGGGAGGGAGGGGGAATTTACTTCTGAAAGATGCAATGAAGGATCCTGGAGAACTGGGCACTTGAGTGAAACCCTCAAAGAATGGTCAGCTTTGGAGAGGCTGAAAGAGGACACAAATGTGGGCAAGTTAGTGAAGTCCAGGATGAAGAGGAAACAGCCAGGGAGCGTGAAGAAGCCGCCTCAGTGTGTGGGGTTCCTGCACAGCCCTGTGGGTTCCAACACGGAAGTATTAAAGAACGGGTTGACCTTTGCATTGGAGAGTGGGGTGTGGATTACCCAAACCAGAGGATGCCAGTTGGATGTGAGCCTCGGACGTGATTTTGGGGGGCAGGGGAGGGGTCTCACCTAGTTCTAAAAGCAGAAGATTGCCAACATTTGAGGATATAGAGTGATTACCTGCCCACAGTCTGCCTGACCTGGACGCTTGTTTCCACGCGGCCATGAGCATCTGGTGCTGGGTGGGACCGCTCCTTCGGAAGGGAGGGCCCTGCCACTTCCGCACGAGGCGCACTGCCCGAGTCGCCACAGACGCGTCTCGAGGGTGTGTTTTGTGCACCTGCCACTGCCGTGAGCCCCTGTTGACCCTGTGGGCGCTAGGGTGTGCAACCCAGGCTTCGGATTTTCCCCAAATTGTTTTGTTAGGGCCTGCCGGGCAGACCTTCCACAAAGGACATAACAAAACAGTTTTTCAAAAAGAAAAATAGCGCTTGTGATGAGTGTGAGGTCACCCATATTTCACCCAATAACAAGACGAAGGCTTGGCCTCGGCGTTCACTTCCAAGACAGGTGGGATGACCCTGGCTCAGTCCCCCCACCTCAATTCTCTCCGTTCGTCGCGCAGTGGCGGCATTAGGTTATCTAACGGGACAGGCGCCACGTCTTTGAATAGCGGTAGGACGGGAAAGTCCGTTGAAAATAAACAGCCATGTGTTCTGAGAAGCGGGAACACTTTGTTGTCTTGTCCAGCAGTTCCTTTTCCTGTTTCTTGATTGCTTATCAGCCCTTTCAGATTGCCTTTTCACTTTGAGAACTGCAAAATTAAGTCATTCCAGCCACCTCCGTTTAAGCAGCCGATTCAGTGATCCGACTGCTCTTTTCAACAGCTCTGTGAGAATGAGGTGAGGATCTGGGCAGGTCTGTTTCCCTAGATTGGCCCCGACGGTTCTGGATACTTCTGAAGCTGACTTGAGAGATCAGGGCTGTGGTGCGATTTGTTTTTTCACCGTAGTCACAAGATGAAAGCAGGGGTATGTATGGACAGGAGCCTCACTTATCTTCACTGATCCTTTTCCTCTCTGTTCATCCCTGCCAGAAACGCCAGCTGTCGCATTGCGACAGACCTTTGTATAGGAGGGAAGCCACAGATAGGATCTGGGTTTCGACCTCAGGGAGATGCTGGTCTTCAGCAGGGCAGGAAGCGCTAGCAGGTCACCAGAGGCTTAGGGACGGCGAATGGTGACATGCCCGAAGCATCAGAGAGGCGGGGAGAAGGGCGTCTGGTCCCAAGTGGAGGCGTGGGGTCCGGAGTGGTGTCGAGGGGTGAACGTGGGCGAGGCGGGTATAGTGCGTGCACAGGAGCTGTGGGGTGGACGGCGGGACCGGAGGGGTCCCAGTAAACAAAGCTCTGCAGGCAAGAAAGACGACTTTCTCTAGGGAGGAAGGACAAAGGGTCCATTGTTGAGGGTGTGTGATGTTTGGGCAGGGCAGATGTTGTCTGCAGCCCACAAGGCTTGTTTTGCATGGTAATGGTAGGACTTTACTAAACACAGGCCCCCACCTGGTCCGATCACACTGGTCTTTTGCATTGCTGCTAGAGCCCAGGGAGAAGACCATTTGTGTAAGGCAGGTGGCTGCGTGTTGCCTGCTGTAGTAAATGGTTTTACCGGGCAGGAGGTTTAAATGTGACTCTAAAGGTGGCTTGGTTTTGTTTTTCTGTTCCACATGAGCTGCAGTGGCCATCTCTGATACATGATTCTTGCTCTGGAGTGGTGGTTCTTACCCAGGGATGATTTTTGTCTGCCAGGGGAAATGTGGCAGTATCTGGAGACGTTTATGGTTGTCACAACTCAGGGTGGAGGGCGCTACTGGCTTCTGATGGATGGAGACCAGGGAAGCTGCTAAAAGTCCTGCAAAGCACCCCAGCAAAGAATGATCTGGCTCAGATGTCATTAGTGCCAAAGAGAAGAAGTCTGTCTGGAGTATTCCATCATTTGGCTATCTGTGTGTTAGTTATTGGACATTTGGATGAAATTGCCAGTTTAAAAAATTTTTTTTTTATTTTAACGTATTGTGGGGGTACAAGTGTTAAGGTTACATATATTGCCCATGCCCCCCTCCCCCTCAAGTAAGAGCTTCAAGCGCGTCCATCCCCCAAACGTTGCGTATCTTACTCGTTTTGATTGTATATACCCATCCCCTCCTCCCCCCTCCCACCCTCCCTACACCCGATAAATGTTACTCCTATGTGGCCACTTCGGTGTTGATCCGTTAATACCAATTTGCTGGTGAGTACATGTGGTGCTTGTTTTTCCATTCTTGAGATACTTCACTTAGTAGAATGGGTTCCAGCTCTATCCAGGAACATACAAGAGGTGCTATATCACCATTGTTTCTTTTTTTTTTTTTGAGACAGAGTCTCACTTTGTTGCCCAGGCTAGAGTGAGTGCCGTGGCGTCAGCCTGGCTCACAGCAACCTCAATCTCCGGGGCTCAGCGATCCTACTGCCTCAGCCTACCAAGTAGCTGGGACTACAGGCATGTGCCACCATGCCCAGCTAATTTTTTGTATATATATTTTTAGTTGGCCAATTAATTTATTTCTATTTTTGGTAGAGACGGGGTCTTGCTCAGGCTGGTTTCAAACTCCTGACCTTGAGCAATCCGCCCGCCTCAGCCTCCCAAAGTGCTAGGATTATAGGCGTGAGCCACCACGCCCAGCTCACCATTGTTTCTTAAAGCTGAGTAAGTACTCCATGACATATACCACATTTTATTAATCCACTCATGAGTTGATGGGCACTTGGGCTGTTTCCACAGCTTTGCAATTGTGAATTGTGCTGCTATAAACATTCGAGTGCAGGTGTTTTTTTCATAAAGTGACTTTTGATCTTTTGGGTAGATGCCCAGTAGTGGAATTGCTGGATCAAATGGTAGGTCTATTTGTATCACTTTGAGGTATCTCCATATTGTTTTCCACAGAGGTTGAACTAGTTTGCAGTCCCACCAGCAGTGTAGGAGTGTTCCTCTCTCTCTGCATCCTTGCCAGCATTTATTGTTTGGGGACTTTTTGATAAAGGCCATTCTCACTGGAGTTAAGTGATATCTCATTGTGGTTTTGACTTGCATTTCCCTGAGATTAGAGATGTTGAACATTTTTTCATGTTTGTTGGCCATTGTTCTGTCTTCTTTTGAGAAGTTTCTGTTCATGTCCTTTGCCCATTTTTTGATAGGGTTGTTTGATTTTTTTCTTGCTGATTTTCCTGAGTTCTAAATAGATTCTAGTTATCAGCCCTTTATCAGATGTGTAGCTTGCAAAAATTTTCTCCCATTCTGTGGGTTGTCTGTTTGCTCTCTTGACAGTTTCTTTGGCTGTACAGAAGCTTTTTAATTTGATCAGGTCCCATTTGTTTATTTTTGTTGCTGTTGTGATTGCCTTTGGGGTCTTCTTCATAAATTTTTTGCCTAGGCCAATGTCTAGAAAAGTATTTCCAACATTTTCCTCTAGAATTCTAGTAGTTTCACACTGAAGGTTCAAGTCTGTTACCCAGCATGAGTTGATTTTTGTGAGAGGTGAAAGGTGTGGGTCTTGTTTCAGTCTTCTACATGTGGCTATCCAGTTTTCCCAGCACCATTTATTGAATAAGGATTCTTTTCCCCAGTGTATGTTTTTGTCTGCTTTGTTGAAGATTAGTTGGCTATATGAAGATGGTTTTATATCTGGGTTCTCTGTTCTGTTCCACTGATCAATGTCCCTGTTCTTGTGCCAGTAAAAAGCTGTTTTAATGACTATAGCCTTGTAGTATAGTTTGAAATCTGGTAAATTGATACCTCCTATTTTGTTTTTATTGCCTAGGATTGATTTTGCTATACAGGGTTCTCTGGTTCCATAAGAAGCGTAAAATTATTTTTTCTGTATCTGTGAAAAATGATGATGGTATTTTTATAGGGATTGCATTGACTCTGTAGGTCACTTTGGGTAGTATAGACATTTTAACAATGTTGATTCTGCCGACCCATGAGCATGGTATATTCTTCCGTTTATGTCCTCTGCTATTTCCTTCTTCAGTGTTTCATAGTTCTCCCTGTAGAGGTCTTTTACCTCCTTAGTTAAATATATTCCAAGGTACTTTATTTTCTTTGTTGCTATTTTGAAGGGAATTGAGTCTTTGATTTGGTTCTCACTTTTACTGTTGTTGGCGTATATGAATGCCTCTGATTTCTGTGTATTGATTTTGTATCCTGAGACTTTACCAAATTCATTTATCAATTCAAGGAGTCTCTTGGTTGCATCCTTGGGGTTTTCTAGGTATAATATCATGTCATCAGCAAAGAGTGAGAGTTTGATCTCTTCTGCTCCCATTTGGATGCCCTTAATTCCACTATCTTGTCTGATTGCTGTAGTGAGGACTTCCAGCACTATGTTGAACAGAAGAGATAGTGGGCAACCTTGTCTTGTTCCAATTCTAAGTGGGAATGCTTTCAATTTTCCCCCATTCAGTATGATATTGGCTGTGAGTTTGTCATATATGGCTTGTATCATTTTTAGGTAAGCCCCGTCTATGCCTATTTTGTTGAGCGTTCTTATCATAAAAGGGTGTTGAATTTTGTCAAATGCTTTCTCTGCATCTACTGAGAGGATCATATGGTCTTTGTTTTTGCTTCTGTTTATATGGTAAATTACATTTATAGATTTGCATATATTGAACAATCCCTGCATCTCAAGCCCACTTGGTTGTGATGAATTATTTTCTTGACAAGCACCTGGATTAGATTGGCTAGGAATTTGTTGAGAATTTTTGCATCTATATTCATAAGGGATATTGGTCTATAGTTTTCTTTTTTTGTTGCATCCTTTCCTGATTTTGGTATCAGGGTTATGTTCGCTTCATAAAATGTGTTGGGGAGCATTCCATCTTTCTCAATGTTGTGGAATAATTTCTGCAGGATAGGCACCAGTTCTTCTTCGTAGGTGTGGTAAAATTCGGGTGTGAAACCATCTGGTCCTGGACTTATGTGCTGGTATGAACATTCTACCGTGGGTCTTTTGGTTAGCATATGTGCACATAGCTGCGTTATGTGTTATTCAGTCTGTTTTCCCAAGTGGTCATATCAATTTTTCCATCCACCTGGTAACAAGAGTTGTAGGTGTAGGAAGTAGCCTGAGAGGTCTAACAGATGAGTGGGTAGAGAAAATGTGATATATACGTACAGTGGAATATTATCCAGCCTTAAAAAGGAAGGAAATCCTGTCACATGCTACAACATGAATGAACTTTGAGGACATTATGCTATGTGAAATAAATCAGTCACAGAAGGGCAAATACCATGTGATTCCATGTATGTGAGATATCTAGAGTGGCCAGATGTGTAGAGACACATAGAATGAAGGTTGCCGGGGACAGTGTGGGGTTGTTCATTGGGTACAGCATCAGTTTTGCAAGTTCTAGAGATCTGTCACACAGCAATGTGATTACAGTTAAGGCTACTGAACTGTTCAGTTAAAAAATGGTTGGAGGGTAAATTTTATGTATTTTTTTAAAATCCCAATTAAAAAATGAAAGAGTTGCAGGTGTGCGTGTCCATGTGGGCATCTCATCCCTCAGCCATTCTGGAGTTTGTGGCTGGTGCTGCACCATGAGTCCCACTCTGACTTGCGGCTGCATGGGCTGGCCGTGGGCAGCTTATCGCACGTGGGCAGACCCTCCTTCCCCTGCGTAAGGAGGTTACCAAAGGCATCGGGACTTAGATGATTGTGGGAGAAGATCCACAGGGAGAGGTGGAGCGTCCTGGATGACAGGAGTCGCTAACCAATCCTCCGAGAAGCCCACCCCTCCAGCTTGGGGAGGGGACGCTCTGGGGAGCTGAAGGGAGGCTGGCCCTCTGTGGGTCTGGGCCAGGCATCTCCCAGGGGCCCGAGGCCACCGTTGATGGACCATAAGACCCCCAATTGGGAAGAAGAAGGGGATGTGAGGCAGGGGGTTGTGAAGACATGCTAGAGCTCAATGGGCACCTTGTGTGTGTCCCTTGTC